CATTCCCGTGTTGAGTTTCTCTCCTGCAGTCGGGTTTGCATAAGACGTTTGCCTAACAGCGGGGAAATGCAGTTTTGAAACTGGAAGGGGACGTGGCCAATATCACCTTTAAAAATGTGACCCTTTTCTTAAACCTCAAGGAAGCAGAGATGGCAGATGGCACTGAGATGGATGAATGATCAAATCCACCTGGTACTGAGTCCCGTTTCCTCTAGGGCAGTTCTTTTAACTTTATGCTGTGCGAGGGTCACCTGGGGACCTTGTTAGAACGCAGGCTGGAACAATCTGCTTTTCTAACAGGCTTCCAGGTGCCCATCAGATGCTATCTGGTCCTGTGCTGAACGAAGGCTTGTCTGTAACAAGTAGAGAAATTAAGAGTAAACTTTTGTAGCAATGTAATAATACCACGACATCCAAGCACATGATCAGTGGACTCTTTGAACCGAGTATAAACCAGTTTGGGTGTTGTCAGACTCACGTGGTGAGTCACACCTGGCGCCACAGTGTATTGGTACCTGGCGGACTGGGAACAAAAATGGCTGGTTCTTCACTACAAAAGAGTTGAGATGCTCTCTCCAGGGAATTTGCCAACTGCTACTCAACCTTTAAAACTCAGCTCACAAAGTCACATCTTCCAGGGGAAGGAACCCTTCCCAAAGATGCTACTCCACTCACCCCACCCAAGCTCCCCCTAAGCACTGGGCTAGATGCCCACTCTAGGATTCATTCCTAAGACAGTTGGGGAACCTATATAATGTTATAAGGGTCTTTCTCTTGGTGTCCTTCTTATACACAGTTGGGAGAATAGTGGCTCCTTGCGGGAAGGACTGTGCTTTAAAATGAGTATCCCCAGGCTGTCTTACAGCATGAATGAATGAATGAATGAATGAATGAATGAATGAAACATCCTTCTGTAATCCTTATGGGGAAAGTGAAGCATGTTTGTAACTTATGCCAGTCCAGTTCTTCACTGTCAATATCATTGCTCCCACCTCACTTCCCTTTAGATAGAGTCAAGGTGTAAATTAGTTAATATTGTGCAATGTTGTTCTGTTTCACAGGTTTACACGCTTCAGGCTCTGAGCCATTAAAGCTTGTGTCCAAGGTGACAAGGAAAGTGAAGATGGAGTCAGGAGAAATACCAACAATCCCAGGCACCAATCAAAGTGCTTAGTCAAATAGGTCCTGCAACCACTGGTGTTCAGATACTGGAGCAGAACAATTACAGTCATTATGGTATTAATCTGCACACAACATCTCTGCCAGAGAAATTACCAGGGAGATTGTTGAAGTGAGAGTGTGGGTGTGACTTTGTTCCCAGCATCAGCCCAGCCACTGATACGTTAGGCAACCTTGCCATGTCATTTCAGGAGTCACTTTCCATATCGGCTCGTCAGTTATAGCAAATGTACCACACTAATGCAACATGTTAATAATAGGGACAAGTGAGGGTGAGGGGCTAGGAGTCTATGAACACACTCTGTACTTTTTGCCAATTTTTATGTAAGCCTAAAACTGTTTTTTTAAAGTCTACTAATTTTTTAAAAGTGATTTTCCTGACAATTAAGAAGATATTGTTAATAATTGGCCCCCAATTTGACTCACAAAGAATCGTGAGCCAGATCCAATATGTAAAGTTTAGATTTTACTGAATCATTTTATTTCTTCAAAAAAAGCTTACATCATAAGTTAACAGGGTAAAAAAAGTTTTTTTAAAAAAAACTTATATCAATGTTTTATAAATGTTGACCCCTAGATCACCTTATCAGTTACTAAAAAGAAAAAAAAAAAAACTGACTCCTAATCTCTGTGGCAAATTGATTACCTGAGAATTTGCATTTTTTATTTCTTTACCTGTGGATTATATTGAAAGAATTTGCACCCAGATAACCAGTTCAGAGTTTGCAAATCGCCACTTTAGGTTATCAGAATTCATCAGCTTTTCTGCATATCCCCATATTCTCAAAAAGGAGTAAGATAAGCTGTGGCAGCAAGACTCTTACTTGCTGAACAGCAAAATGCCTGTTCTAAATAAGATATCTAACCCTCAAGTATTCGGGTTGAATCAGTTGTTAAAAAGCAGCATGTTAAATTTATAAGGGCTTTGACAGGATTGGACAGAGACTGGGAAGCGTTTTAAATCAATAGATTTCTAAGAATATCCACTCTTGTTACCATTTCTTAAAAATTTAAGTGCTTCCTCTGAGAGAGTTGTGCTAACCACAGGACAAAGCAGTTTAGGCTAAAACGATTAAACCCTGCCCTCTGAGAAGTGACAGAGGCACAAGCATGGTAATAATAGGAGGATGAGTGCGTTTCCGTGAGGCAAAGGTCCGTCTCAACTCTGTCCTACCTGTCTTCCAGACTGACAGAGTATGACATTTTCAAAATAAAACACCCCAAAAGCTCAAGTTAAATTATCTTATTTAGTGGCATACATTAATCCACATTCAACAAAATTTTAATACTGACTGGATCATTTCCCCCCTGAAAGGGAGAGTTGCATATGTATATTTGTGAGTTAAGTAGTAACAATCTTCTGTTTTTGTTCTCCACCAACAGTTTGTTTTTAGTTGAAACGGGTTGTCTAATTTACTTTGTGAATTCAAATTGAGTTCCTTTTGTTGTTGCTGCTGCTGCCATTCCTTGTCTTGATGTGTCTTGGGGTGTAGAGTCTTTTCCATTATCTTTTTTTTTAATTATTATTAAATACTCACCCCTTAATTGTGCCTGTTAGGATAATGGCTTAATTACTAGTTTCAGAAAGGGAAAGTTCTCAAAGTTTCTTTCACACAAATTAGAAGTTAATAACTGACAATTCTAAAGTCCTTTCATGCTTAACTAAACGGCAGTCCATGCTTTGGGCTCACCCTCTTGGATGTTTAAAACATCAAATGTTTTTGTCTTCTCGGACAAACAAAAGGGAATTTTTTTTAATGTGCTTTAAATTTTTACACAAGTGCTTCTTTTATTTCTCATAACTTAGAATTCAGAAATCCTCAAGAGAATTTTTTTTTTCCTGCTGAAACTGAAAACAACTGTAGGTGGTTTCAACAGAACACATTTTGGAGAAAATACCTGAAATGTTTCACATTGTAATAGAATTAAGAACAGAAGAATAAACATAGAACTGAAATGGGGATAAGACACCGGAAGAACTCATTTCTGCCAGCAGTCGTATTTCTCTACAAGCTGAGCTAGGGCCAGGATGTCATTCACCTCATCAGAGAGCCTGTGATGGACAGTTAATTCTAACTAAATCCCCATCACTTCAAACTACAGCAAGAATGCGTCCTACAGGTGTTATCCTACAAAAATCATGGAGTGTTAGTTTCACAAATTAATCAGTTTTCATGTTTGGGGCTGGTCCTGTTGCGTATAATAAATAAAAAGTACAAAAATCCCTGAAACCCTGAAAAGCTCCCGAATGATTAAGCCCACTTGGAGCTATGTTTGACATCTCGCTTTCTCTCTCAATGTTTTTGTGCCTTTATGACCCTCTCTCTTCCATTACTCCAGGGTGGTTCAGAGACTGACTGTAAAGTTTATCATCTCTCTACCATTATTGTTAATCGCAACATGTTTGCCACTTCCAAACCTTGTGTCCTCCCTTATTCCTCTTGCTTGCATCTTCAGCCTTTCCCGGTCAGTGTCCAAGCCAATAAACATGATTGTGTGGGCTCTGTTTGAAAACAGCTGCTCGTTTACCCAATTGCTCTCTGAACTACTGGACCATCTCTCTTCAAATGCCCAACTTTTCACTGCTGTACTTCATCCTCCAAGCAATCAACCCTTAAACCCCTCATGATCTGATTTTTGTCCCCCACCCCACTCTCTTGAAAGTCACTGTAACCTCAGATCATCAAATTCAACAGCCTGTTCTCCAATTTCACTCTCCTTGACATCCCCTCTTTAAAAATTCTCTAACTTCTTAGCTTCAGGGCAAGCTTCATAGGTGTGCAACCCATATAGTTAACTGCATAGAGCCCTAAGCTCCTCAGGCATGGTTTAATATTCTGTTGTTCCTATCTTCAAATTATTTTATGTATTTATTTACTTATTTTTTTGTTAGGCATCAGATGACAGCAAATATAACTTTTTCTTAATAGGATGAATGAAGAACTAGTATTTGATAGCACAACAGGGTGACTATAGCAACAATAATTTATTGCATATTTTTAAATAACTGAAAGGGTGGAATTACAATGTCCATAACACAAAGAAAAAATAAATCCTTGAGGCGATGAATACCCTGATCACAATTACAAATAACGCAATTATTACATATTGTATGCCTGTATCCACACATTACATGTACCCCCTAAATATATGCATTATGTACTGATAATAATTAAAAATGAAAATAATTGCCAGGCATGGTGGCTCATGCCTATAATCCCAGCACTTTGGGAGGCCGAGGTGGGCGGATCACAAGGTAAGAAAATCGAGACCATCCTGACTAACACAATTAAACCCCATCTCTACTAAAAATACAAAAAATTAGCTGGGTGCCTGTAGTCCCAGCTACTAGAGACGCTAAGGCAGGAGAATGGCGTGAACCCTGAAGGCGGAGCTTGCAGTGAGCCAAGTTTGCGCCACTGCACTCTAGCCTGGGTGACAGAGCGAGACTCAGTCTCAAAAATAAATAAATAAATAAATACATTATTTTATTTTATTTTCTTGAAACCAAGTTTCACTCCTGTCGCCCAAGCTGGAGTGCAATGGCATGATCTCCACTCACTGCAGCCTCTGCCTCCTGGGTTCAAGTGATTCTCCTGCCTCAGACTCCTGAGTAGCTGGAACTACAGGCGCCTGCCACCACGCCCAGTTAATTATTTGTATTTTTAGTAGAGACAGGGTTTCACCATGTTAGCCAGGCTGATCTCAAATTCCTGACCTCGGGTGATCCATCTGCCTCGGCCTCCCAAAGTGCCGGGATTACAGGTGTGAGTCACCGTGACTGGCCTGAAAAGTTTTCAATATGTATATTTACATTATTTAAAAAGATAAAACACTTCATGAATTTGTGTGTCATCCTTGAGCAGGGGCCATGCTCATCTTCTCTGTCTTGCTTTAATTTTAGTATATATGCTGCCAAAGTGAGCGCAAAAGAATTATTTTAGAGACAGAGGGTACAGTGGCACAATCATAGCTGACTGCAACCTTGAACTCCTGGCCTCAAGAGATCCTCCCACCTTGGCCTCCCAAAACACTGGGATTACAGGTGTGGAGCCACTGCAATGGCCATTAATTTTTTTTTTTTTTTTAAATGAGACTGAGTCTCACTCTGTCACCCAGGCAGGAATGCAGTGGCATGATCTCCGCTTACTGCAACCACCTCCGCCCCCTGGGTTCAAGCGATTCTTATGCCTCAGCCTCCCAAGTAGCTAGGATTACAGGCACGTGCCACTATGCCCAGCTAATTTCTGTATTTTTACTAGAGATGAGGTTTTACCATGTTGGCCGGGCTGCTCTCAAACTCCTGACCTCAAGTGATCCACTCGCCTCGGCCTCCCAAAGTGCTGGGATTACAGGCATGAGCCACCATACCCAGCCTAATATATATATATATTTTTTGTTTTGTTTTGTTTTGTTTTGTTTTGAGACGGAGCCTTGCTCTGTCGCCCAGGCTAGAGTGCAATGGTGTGATCTTGGCTCATTGCACCCTTCGCCTCCTGGGTTCAAGTGACTCTCCTGCCTCAGTCTCCCGAGTAGCTGGGACTACAGGCACATGCCACGACGCCCGGCTAATTTTTTGTATTTTTAATAGAGATGGGGTTTTTGTTAATAAGGATTGTCTCGATCTCCTGACCTCATGAGCTGCCCACCTCATCCTCCCAAAGTGCTGAGATTACAGGCTTGCGTCACCGCGCCTGGCATTTTTTTTTTTTTTTTTTTTTTTTTTTTGAGACGGAGTTTGGTTCTGTGGCCCAGGCTGGAGTGCAGTGGCACAGTCTTGGCTCACTGCAAGCTCCGCCTCCCGGGTTCACGCCATTCTCCTGCCTCGGCCTCCTGAGTAGCTGGGACTACGGGCGCCCGCCATCATGTCCGGCTAATTTTTTCTATTGTTAGTAGAGTTAGTAGAGTCGGGGTCTCGCCGTGTTAGCCAGGATGATCTCGATCTCCTGACCTTGTGATCCGCCCGCCTCGGCCTCCCAAAGTGCTGGGATTACAGGTGTGAGCCGCTGCGCCCAGCCTGTTTTTTTTTTTTCCCCCCCCCAGACAGAATTTTACTCTTGTTGCCCAGGCTGAAGTGCAAGGGTGCGCAATCTCGGCTCACTGCAACCTCCACCTCCCCAGTTCAAGCAGTTCTCCTGCCTCACCCTCCCGAGTAGCTGGGATTACAGGCGCCCGCCACCACGCCAGGCTAATTTTTTGTATTTTTAGTAGAGATGGGTTTGCGCCATGTTGCCCAGGCTGGTCTCCAACTCCTAACCTCAGGTGATCCCCTGCCTCAGACTCCCAAAGTGCTGGGATTACAGGCATGAGCCACTATGCCCAGCCAATATTCTTAATAGTTGTTGAACAAAGGGCTCTGCCTTTTCATTTTGCACAGGGTGCCACAAATCATGAAGCTGGTTCTTTTTAGCTTTTGTGACCTTCCATTTGTTTGGCTCTCCCATCTCTTTGACCACTTTCTCCCCCTTGCAGGCTCCTCTTCTCCTTCTCTCTCCGAAGTATGATGGATCCCGAGCACGTGTTCTTCCCCCCCCATTCTTAGGTTCTCACTATTAATTTTCTGTACTTCACCTGCCATATCTTCATAAATGATCCTCAAATCTATAACTCAAGCTGTAAGAAGTCCCAGCCACAGGCCAGGCACAGTGGCTCATCCCTGTAATCCTAGCACTTTGGGAGACGGAGGCAGGTGGATTGCTTGAGCTTAGCAGTTTGAGACTAGCTTGGGCAACAAAGAAAAACGCCATCTCTACAACAACAGCAACAACAAAATTAGCTAGCTGTGGTTGCGCATGCCTGTTAGTCCCAGCTACTTGGGAGGATCACTTGAACCTGGGAGTTGGAGGTTGCAGTAAGTGGAGATAGCACCACTGCATTCTAGCCTGGGCCACAGAGCCAGACCCTGTCTCAAAAAAAAAAAAAAAAAAAAAAAAAAAAAAAGAAGAAGGAAAAAGAAAAGAAGAAGAAGAAGAAGAAGAAATCCCAACTACATTTCCAACCCTTTGTTGAATTTTTCCTAGTGAGGTTCTTCTCACACTTCAAAACCTTCTTCACTCTCCCATCAGCTTCTATCAACCTCCCTATATTTATTAATGGAATAGCCATAATTCAGTCACCGTAATGAGAAGGTATCTGTCTTTCAGAGCTGTCCTAAATATTTTGATGATCTTATACACAGGCAAGTCTATCCCCATCAAAGCCTTCCTTGCTGTATATACGGACTTCAGTTTTATTGATTAATACCCTCATTCATGGGTTTAATCTAGAAAACAAACTATGAGGAGACCAGGGAGACTCAGAGCATCAGTTTCAGTGACTCGGGTCATGGCAGAGGTATGTTCTCATAATTTTTAAAATCAAATTATGTACATCTGCAGGGATCCCACTCACCCAAAGGGAAGCAATACAAAACAAAACAAAAATAATATGCACTGAAGAGCGATACAAAACAAGAGGCTGGCCATCCAAGAAAGTTGGGACTAAGATTCATGGGGTTCATCACAGGGCCAATTTTATGCAAACTCTTGTTAGTGAGGCTTTGTTTTCCCCACTGAAAATTGCCTGAAATCACCACTATTAATTTTGCTTCTGGAATGCGTTGAGAGTATTTTTGGATTTTTTATTTCCAGAGCTTCCATCAAATGCAAGTGTGTGCTGCTGAAGTATTAGGAAAAATTGGTTAAGTGCACAGAGTTGTTTATATAAGAATATCCAGGATAAAATTGTTTAGAAAAGTTAAAAACCTGGCTGAGCGCGGTAGCTCACGCCTGTAATCCCAGCACTTTGGGAGGCCAGGACAGGCAGATCACCTGAGGGTCAGAAGTTGGAGACCAGCCTAGCGAACATGGTAAAACCCTGTCTCTACTAAAAATACCAAAAAATTTTGCTGGGCCTGGTGGCACGCGCCAGTAATCCCAGCTACCCGAGAGGCTGGGGCAGGAGAATTGCTTGAACCCAGGAGGCAGAGTTTACAGTGAGCCGAGATCGCGCCTTTGCACTCCAGCTTGGGCGACGAGTGAAATTCTGTCTCAAAGAAAAGAAAGAAAGAAAAAAGAAAAGTTAAAAACCTGGACACAACCTAAAAGCCTCTCAGAAGGAGACTGGTTAAGCAAACTATGGTAAATGTGCATAGTGACATAGTCTTTGTGTTAGTTGTCTGTTTTTGCGTAACAAGCCACCTAAAACTAAGTGGCTGAAGACAATGACTTGTTATTTCTCACAATTTTGTGGCTTGATGGAGCTTGACCTCTGTGCTGTTATCTGGGCTCTCTCGGGTGACTTCTGTCAGTTAGCTGCTTGGCTGTGTCTTGTGATCTAGGATGGCCTCTCACACAGGCACAGGAGCTCACGGGGATGCTTGGATAGCTGGTTCACTCTCTCCACGTGGCCTTTCTTTACACCACGACAGTCTCAGGAGTGCATTAGGGTGACAGCAAAAGCTGCAAGACCTTTGGAGAACTTGTGCAGTTGCTTCTACCATATTTAATTGGTCAAAACCTGACATAAAGCCAGCCCAGACCCCAGACCTCAGACCCCAGACTCTTTTTTCTTTTTTTTTTTTTTTTGAGACAGGTTCTCACCCTGTCACCCAGGCTGGAGTACAGTGGCCTTCCGGGTTCAAGCGATTCTCCTGCCTTAGCCCACCATGCCTGGCTAATTTTTCTTTTTTCTTTTTTTTTCTTTTTTGTATTTTTAGTAAAGACAGTGTTGCACTGTGTTGGCCAGGATGGTCTCGAACTCCTGACTCAAGCAATCTGCCTGCTTTGGCCTTCCAAAGTGGTATGATTTCAGGCGTGAGCCACGGCACTTGGCCCAGATCCCAGACTCTCTTGATGGAAGGAATTGCAAGGAATCTGTGGCTACTGAGGGGAGAGGGAAGGGTAAAATTCACATAACTCCAAATTTACCATTCTCAAGTGTACCATTCAGTGGCATTTGGTACATTCACAGTGTTATACAAGCATCACCACTCTCTAGTTCTAGAATATTTTCATCCTTCCAAAAGTAAACCAATGCTCGTTACTTCTCTGATTCCTGTCAACCCCTAGCCTCCATTAACCACTCATTTGCTTTCTGTCTTTGTGGATTTGCCTATTCTGGATATTTCACGTGAATGGAATCATGCAATAGGTGACCTTTTAAACTGTCTTCTTTCATTCAGTATAGTGTTTGCAAGGTTCATCCATGTTGTAACTTCATTCCTTTTTATTGCCTGAGTAATATTCCATTATATTAAGCTTGCCCAACCTGTGACCCAGGATGACTTTGAATACCACCCAACAAAAATTTGTGAACTTTCTTAAAACATTATGAGATTTTTTTTTTTTGCAATTTTGTTAACTCATCAGCTATATCGTTAGTGTATTTTATGTGTGACCCTAGACAATTTTTCTTCCAGTGCAGCCCAAGGAAGCCAAAATATTGGATACCCTTGCATTATATGAATATAACTCATTTTTAAAATCCATTCATCAGTTGATGGACATTTGGGTTTTCCCTTTGGGGCTACTGTCAATAGTGCTATTATGAACATTCATGTACCTGTTTTCAATTTTTTGGGGAATATTCCTAGAGGTGGAATTGCTGAATTACATGGTAATTCTATGTTTAACTTTTTGAAGAACTGCCAGACTGTTTTCCATTGTGGCCTTTTTTTTTTTTTTTTTTTTTTTGAGACGGAGTCTCGCTTTGTCGCCCAGGCTGGAGTGCAGTGGCCGGATCTCAGCTCACTGCAAGCTCCGCCTCCCGGGTTCATGCCATTCTCCTGCCTCAGCCTCCCGAGTAGCTGGGACTACAGGCGCCCGCCACCTCGCCCGGCTAGTTTTTTGTAATTTTTAGTAGAGACGGTGTTTCACCGGGTTAGACAGGATGGTCATAATCTCCTGACCTCGTGATCCGCCTGTCTCGGCCTCCCAAAGTGCTGGGATT